TGTGAAGAATTGTTCTGGGATTTTGATGGGGATTGTATTGAATCTGTAGATTATTTTTGGTAGGATTGCCATGTTTACCATGTGATCCTACCTATCCAAGAGTATGGGAGATCTTTCCATTTTCTGATATCTTCCTTAATTTCTTTCTTTAAAGACTTGAAGTTCTTATCATGCAGGTCTTTCACTTGTTGGGTTAGAGTTGCCCTAAGTATTTTATATTATTTATGGCTATTGTAAAAGTTGATGTTCCCCTGATTTCCTTCTCAGCCCACTTGTCATCTGTATATAGGAGGGCTACTGATTTATTTTTTTAGTTAATCTTGTATCCTGTTACATTACTGTTTATCAGTTGTAGGAGTTCTCTGGTAGAATTTTTGGGGTCACTTATGTATACTACCATATCATCAGCAAATAGCGAGAGTATAACTTCTTTTCCAATTTGTATCCCTTTGATCCCCTTTTGTTGTATGTATACTACCATATCATCAGCAAATAGCGAGAGTATAACTTCTTTTCCAATTTGTATCCCTTTGATCCCCTTTTGTTGTCTTAATGCTCTAGCTAGAACTTCAAGTACTGTGTTGAATACATATGGGGAGAGTGGACAACCTTGCCTTGTTCCTGATTTCAATGGGATAGCTTTGAGTTTCTCTGCATTTAGTTTGATGTTGGCAGCTGGGTTACTGTATGTTGCCATTATTGTTTAGGGGTGTTCCTTGTGCCCCTGATCTCTCCAAGACATTTATTTATCATGAAGGGATGTTGAATTTTGTCCAAGGGTTTTTCAACGTCTAATGAGATGATCATGTGATTTTTTTCTTTCAGTTTGTTTATATGGTGGATCACATTGATGTATTTTCATATGTAAAACCATCCCTGTATCTGTGGGATCAATCTTACTTGGTCACGGTAGATGATTTTTCTGATGTGCTCTTGAATTCAGTTTGCCAGTATTTTATTGAGTATTTCTGCATCAATGTTCATGAGGTATATTGGGCTGTAGTTCTCTTTCTTAGCTGTGTCTTTGTGTGGTTTGGCTATCAGGGTAACTGTAGCCTCATAAGAAGAGTTTGGCGATATTCCTTCTATTTCTATTGTGTGGAATACTTGAGGAGATTGGTTCTTTGAACATCTGGTAGAATTCTGTACTGAATCCATTTGGACCTGGGCTTTTTTTTGGTTGGGAGACTTATTGATAACTATTTCTATTTCCCTAGGAGTTAGAGGTGTATTTATGTTGTTTATCTGTTCTTGATTTAATTTGGTATGTGGTACTTATCTAGAAAATTGTCCATCTCCTTAAAGTTTTCCGATTTGTGGAGTACACGATTTAGAAGAATGACCTGATGATTCTCTGCATTTCCTCAGAGTCTGTTATTACTGTGTCCCCCTTCTCATTTCTGATTTTGTTAATTTAGATATTCTCTCTGTATCTTTTGGTTCGTTTGGATAAAGGGTTGTCTATTTTGTAGAATTTCTCAAAGAAACAACTCTTTGTCCCATTGATTCTTTGCATTGTTTCCTGTGTTTCTATTTTATGGATTCCAGTCCTCAATTTGACTATTTCTTGCCCGTCTACTCCTTCTGGGTGAGTTTGCTTCTTTTTGTTCTAGCACTTTCAGTTGTTCTGTTAATTCACTAGGGTGGGATTTTTCCAGCTTCTTTGGGTAGGCACTTAGTGCTATGAACTTTCCTCTCAGCACTGCTTTCATTGTGTCCCATAAGTTTGAGTATGTTGTAAGTAATTTCCATTAAATTTTAGGAAGTCTTTTCTTTCTTTCTTTATTTCTTCCTTGACCCAGTGGGGGGTTCAGTTGATCATCTTTCAATTTCCATGTGTTTGTGGGGTTTCTGAAATTAATGTTTCTGTTGAATTCTAACTTTAAGCTGTGGTGATCCGATAGGGTACAGGGGTTTACGTAAATTTTTTTTGTATCTGTTGAGGTTTGCTTTCTTTCCTAGTCTATGATCTATTTTTGAAAAGATTCCATGAGTTGCTGAAAAGAAACTATATTCTTTTGTGCTGGGGTGGAATGTTCTATAGATGTCTGTCAAGTCCATTTGAGTCATAAAATCTGTTAGTTCCCTTATTTCTCTGAAAAAAATTTGTCTGGAAGATCTGTCCAGTGGTGTGAGTGCAGTGTTGAAGTTTCCCACTACTACTTTAAGCTTTAGTAATGTTTCCTTTCCAAATTAAGGAGCCCTTGTGTTTGGGGCATAGACATTCAGAATTAAGATTTCCTCTTGATGGATTGTTTTCCTGTAATGAAAATGAAATGGTCTTTTTACCTTTTTGATTGATTTTAGTTTGAAGTCTATTTTGTTAGATAATAGGATAGCTACACCAGTTTGTTTCTTAGGTCCAATTGATTGGAAAATTTTCCCCAACCCTTTACTCTGAGATAATGTCTATCTGTGAGGTTAAAGTGTGTTTCTTGTATGCAGCAGAAGGATGGGTTCTGTTTTCATATCCAATCTGTCAGTCTGTGTCTTTTTATAGATGAATTGAGACCATTTATATTAATAGATATTAATGAGCAGTGATTCATACTTCCTATTATTTTTGTTATTGTTTTTGGTGATGACATTGTGTGTTGGATTCCCTTCTTTAGGGTTTGCTGCTGTAAGCTTATCTATTTTCTATGTTCTTGTGGACATAGGTGATTCCTTGGGTTGTCATTCTCCTTCTAGTACTTTCTATAGGGCTGGATTTGTGGAAAGGTTTTGTTTAAATTTGGTTTTATCATGGAATATCTTGTTTTCTCCATCCATGGTTATTGAAAGTATTGCTGGGTAAAGTAGTCTGGGCTGGCATCCGTGGTCCCTTAGTGTCTGCATTACACCTGACCAGGATTTTCTGGCTTTCATTGTTTCCATTGAGAAGTCAGATGTAATTCTGATAGGTCTGCCTTTATATGTTACCTGGCCTTTCTCCATTGTAGCTCTTAATATTCTTTCTTTATTCTGTATGTTTATTGTTTTGATTATTATGTGGAGAGGGGACTTTTTTTGGTCCAGTCTACCTGAAATTCTAAATCCATCTTGTATTTTCATTGGCATGTCCTTCTTTAGGTTGGGGAAGTTTTCTTCTATGATTATGTTGAATATATTTTCTGTGCCTTTGAGTTGGACTTCTTCTCCTTCTACTATGCCTCTTATTCTTAGCTTCAGTCTTTTCATGGTGTCCTAGATTTCCTGCATGTTTTGTGTTAAGGATTTGTTGGATTTAAATTTTTCTTTGACCCACGAATCTATTTCTTCCAAATTGTCGTCAATGCCTGAAATTCTCTCTTCCATCTCTTGTATTCTGTTGTTTATGCTTGTATTTGTGGTTCCTGATTGCTTACCCAGATTACCCTCAGTTTGTGTTTTCTTTATTGCCTCTATTTCAGATTTCATGTCTTCAATCGTTTCCTTCCCCTGTTTGATTGCTTTTTCTTGGTTTTCTTTAAGTGATTTGTTGATATCTTCCAATTGTCTGTTTCTCTTTTCCTCCATTTCCTTAAGGGGATTTTTCATCTCCTCTCTAAGGGTCTCAGTCATTTTTAGGTCTTTTTCTTCGACTTCATCGGTGCTAGAATGCTCAGGTCTTCCTGTTGTAGCACCCTAGTTTCCAGTGGTGCCGTATGCTCTTTGAATTGTTGGGTGTATTCTTGCCTTGTTGTTAACGCATCTCTTCCTCTAATAGTATGGGTGGAGCGTGGGCTTGAGGGGTTCTCTCTTTCTGCAGTTGGTAGAGTTGGGGCCTGAGTCTCCCTTGAAGGCTTCTTCAGGCAAAAGTAGGGCAGAGGTTCTGGTGGTTGCTCCTCCTGGTGGGGGTGGGCCCAATACTCAGATGGTCACTCCTTGAAGTGCAGGTGGGACTACAGCTCTGGTGGATACTCCTCCCATTGGAGGGGTAGGTCTGGGTAAGGGTCCAGGGGTCAATGTAGTATCATGGTATCTCCAAAGGAGAAATGTCAGTGAATTCTGGCTGGGACAAAGGTGCTCTTTCCCAAAGAAACTTCTTGCTGTAGTTTCTGGAAGCTATTGCGTGAAACCACTGCTATTGCTTCACCCAGTGATCAATGCTTGCTCCTTGGCCTGAGGCTGAGAATTTGCTCGCACACTACTCCCAGCTCTGGGGCTTGAGGGTTGTTTGATACTGCTCTGGGCCTGAAGCAAGTCCCTCCTCTGATGCTGCTTCCAGGCTCTGACACAGCTCCCAGGTCAGAATACGGTTTCTAAGGCTAACTTAGGAGTCCTTTTCTGTGCATTCCTCTCTCAGACGTAAAATCTCAACAAATGTAAAACACCCTTCTTTAAAAAGCCTCTCTACAAAGCCATTTGTGGTGTGTTTTAGGCAGAGTGGTGAATATATCAAGTATGCTCAGCCTCAGGGCCCTGCAAAGCTGCAGCCCGGAGCTGCAGCAGAAGTTTCGAAGTGACACCATCACAGAGGAGGAGCTGGCGGAACTCATGAACAAGTTTGTGGAAGACACAAAGAAAGGGATGCATGAGAAGGAAGGATGGCCTAATAGTGCTTATGGGGTGACCAAGATTGGGGTGACAGTCCTGTCCAGAATCCATGCCCGGGAACTCAGCCAGCAGAGGAGAGCAGATAAGATCCTCCTCAATGCCTGTAGCCCAGGGTGGGTGAGAACAGACATGACAGGACCAAAAGCCCCCAAGAGCCTAGAAGAAGGAGCAGAGACACCCGTGTACTTGGCCCTTTTGCCCCCAGATGCAGAGGGGCCTCATGGGCAGTTTGTTCAGGAGAAAAAAGTAGAACAATGGTGAATTCAACTCTTCCCCTCTCCCCACAGCACCCTCTCCCTAGCTGTAACCTGTCTTGGTGAGGACTGTGGACATTTATAATCTGCTGACATAATATACTAATTTAACTCTCATTAATTACATGAGTCATTGACCCTTGTAATTCTGTGAATTACTTTATGATTCTGTCTGTGATACAGGAAAGAGAAAAAGTAAATTCTCTAAATAAATAAATAAATAACTGGTTCTTTAAGCCTGGTGTTTTTCTATAAATTTGGGGGGTCACCTTAAGTGTTGAGTGTGTTGGCAAGGGTGATGGAAGTGTACTACATGCTTTTAGTGCTTGTGAAGACCAGAAGACGGCATCTGTCCCTGGACCTGGAGTGAAGATGCTGTGAGGTCTCCACCAGAGCAGCAAGGGCTCCTCACTGCTGACCCATCAGTCCAGTCTCATTTGCAGATTCTTATCCACGCAAAATTGGCTTCATCGCTGCAGGTTAATGAGGGCAAAAGTGGGGTGAAGGGAAAGCACAGTGTAACTCCAGTCAGCTAAGAACCAAATAGCCAGTCTGAGCAGGTGACTGCTCTGTAGCAGGTGTGTCCTTGGGTGACATACAGGACACACAGTTCTGCCATTCAACACACAGCTCTCAGGTTCTCCAAAGCAATAGAGGATCATTTGTTCTGCAACCATTGAGTGACCATGACCTGGTCACACAGACTTAGGGACCCCTAGTTCCAACAGAAAAGCAGTTTCATAAAGCTTCTATATCTTTCTCTGTTCTATGAAGTTTTACAGAACAAAGTAAGTTTTAAATCAAGACAACTTCAAAATGCATTGGTAGGAAGATCAGAGAAATGGGTACAATGAGATGGGGAGCAATGTTATAGCCCAAGATGCTGTCTGATGACATCCATAGCTCTTGGATTAGGGGAAGTTAGTGTTCTACTGAATTAAATCAATGTCTTCCTATCTCCATCATCAGCATCATGAGGTGTTTCTTCAGAGTGGGGTAAGGAATGCCCATTGCAGACCCTAAACCTAGCCCAGGATAAAGCACTCAGCCTCTGAACCTGCTCAATCCAGAGTCTCCACACTACTGAAATTCCTCTCAGTCCTCCAGTCTCTGCAAACACAGACTCCTCCCTGGAGTTCTGATCCCAGCAGGCACAGCTTCTCTCCAGGAACTTTCTTCACAGTTCCCCCATTGGCCAAGCATCACATTTTGTGCATCAGGGGCCACGTGTTGAATGTTCTGAGGTCCTGCCCTCATGCCTGTGAACCAGGATTAGCATGTGATATATGTGAGGCTTGAGCAGTGGACAGGAGAGAGCATCTTTAGAAGACAGGAACACTGGTAAACCCAGGAAGCATCACTGGCACCATATCGAAACAACTAGCCACTATGATCTTCAGCTGAATTGTTATCTTTTACACCTCTGTATCTGTCTTTACATTTATATGGGACATAGATTACCAAATTAAATGGTTAGAATACAATTTGGCCTAATGAATTGAAAATTACAGATGAAACCAATGTCTAAAATAACTAAACTTTACATGATTGGCTACATAGCTCCTTGTATATTTACAGTTATTTGTATATGTTGAATTTTACTTTGTTTTAAAGGCTTAGAAATGGAACTATCAATGCAATTACCATGATATTGTCTGTCATCTGTCTTACTAAAAACATTGTTTAATTATTTTGTAATTCCCAGCTCACTGTACTATAGAACATTTTAGATACTAATTACAGCAAGAAGCATTAGAATTTAGCAGAAATATTCAAAAATGTTGTTATCAGATATTAATGCCACTTTTATAATTTGGATAAGAACAATTAATCCAAATCATTGGGTGTTTATGGCCAGAGTAAATGTGTATTAGGGTTCTCTTGAATAACAGAACTTATAGAACGAATACCTCTGTCTACATACATTTGGAGGGCAGACTATGTCATATCTGTGGTATGGTGTATGTGTGTGTGCTGTTGTGTGTGATATGTGTGGTGAGGCATGTGTGTGTGTGGTGTGGTGGTTACAGCATGGTGTACATGGACAGTATGTGTGAGAGTTTACTGTGTTGCAGCAGGAGTTATTTCTCTGTGGTGGTGTGGGGTGTTGTGTATGATTGGTATGTGGTGTGCTGTATGTGTCTATGTGTGTATGTATTGTGTGGTATAGAATTGTGGTGTGTCGGTATATGAAGTGTAGTGCATATATATATATATATGTTTGTGGTATGACTGTTTAGTGTCTATGTCTGTGGTGTGAGTATGGTATTGTTGGGGTTGTGGTATGTGTGTGGGGTGTCCCGGTGTGTGGTGTAGATGTGATGTGAGGATGGTGTGTCTGCTCTGAAGTAAGTGTGTGGGGTGTGTATGGTATGAGAGAAGTGTGGTATCTGTGGTGTAGTGTGTTTGTGCAGTATGTGAGATGTGGGCTGTATTCATCTCTGTGTGGTATGTGAGGGATAACGGATGTGTGAATATGGGGTATGGTGAGTGTGAAAATCTGTGTGTTCAGTTGTGTAGATATGGGTGTGTACATGTGTGTTTGCAACCATGTGCATGCCTGACCAAACTGGGGGAGCCCACCAGTGACTCAGTTTCCTTCTGGAGTCTATCCTGACTTACAAGTTCAGCTTGCTTGCTCCAGTTCTTTAAAAGCCCTGAGAGAGCTCTGATTAAACTCATAGGAAAGAACACCATATCCAGTATAGATAGATGCAGGCTGCTGATGCAGCCAGAGGTACAGTGTGACAGAAAATGAAGCTCCAGGCTGCCAGCCCGAGGATGTGAAGAGATGGAGAGACAGTGGTTTCCTTGACTCAAGGACAGGATGAGGAGGTGGTCAACTGACGATGTTGTCATTTGCTCTGAATAAACTCCTGGCTGTTGCTTGTGCTGAGAGGCATCAACGGACGGTCCTCCTGACCCTGTCTGGAAGTCTTTGTCTTCTCTTTCAACCCCCTGTTTCAGGTGACCCAGCTGACTGTTAGGAGCAGGCTTCCACACTAAACACCATTGTAAACAGCAGAGGGATCACACCAACTTCTTGGAATGACTTCCTTCCTCCCACCTTACATGGACCCCAAAGCCTGAACTCAGGTTGCTGGGTGCTCCCTGCACCTGTCCTCACCTGCTGAGTCATCCCAGCCATGCCAGTCCTTTTCCTGATTGGTAAACTGCTCACTAGAAGCCTGCCTTGAAATGGCAGTTTACATGCAATCCATATGAGACAACAGGCTCTTTTGTAGTGGGAATGTCTCATATCTGTCTCCTTATTTCACTGTGATCCCAATCATACCGCCCTCACCCGTATTGTGGACAGTGCAACTCAAATGTCTTATTTTAATTTAAATGGCCACCAGTGGCTATTACCAATCTACCAAACACAAACAGAATGAAACTTGACCTTCAGATCCTGATTTCCAGGGTGTTAGGAAACAGGATTTCTTCCCGTTCGTGGACCCACTATCACCTTTGTGAGCACAGAGCATCCTGTGAACTTGAAAGGGAACTAAGGTGTGACTCCAAGTGCTATTTTGAGTACAAAGGAGCAGGTTCCCTGAAGGCCCTGGCCTCTGTACACCTCAGTGCTCACATCCAGGTAAGGTAAAGCACTTAGAAGTTTGTAAACACACAACCCATGGGATTAGTTTGGATTGCTTCCTGCCAAGGATTAACCAACACTTTGCTTTAGCATCCTAAGTGGGAAACTCAGCAGGAATTTCCATTTCTCATCCTTCTCACCAGTTCATCCTACAACTCTACTTCCTACGATAAAGGGGCCTTGCGTTATTTTTCTAGACACCAGAAAGACTATGGACAAAGATCCAATCTCCAAGTTGGGGAAGGAAAACAGTGCAACATTGATAAAAGCACAGAGGAAGATTCACTCACATGGGCAAGGTCAATGTCTCATTTCCGGGTGGACAGCTGCAGCAGCCTCTCTGCAGACTTCTCCTGCAGTCTCGCCTGGCTGGGGCATCCAAAACTCCTTGAGGAAAAAAGCCACAGATGCCCATGAGCCGACCCAGCCATTTTTCTGTCTGGATTTTAACTGTGCAACACGCTTTGCTTGCTCGAAGCCTGCAAAGGAACTGGCCTGTTTCTTTCGTTGAAAAGATTTAAACAACTAAGCCCGATACAGTGAAGATGAGCCATCACCTGTAATTATACACCATTAAGACAAGAGGACAGTTACAGAGAGTGAAGCATGCAAAAACCAGTCCCCAACGTGCCACGCCCTCCTGGAGGTCCAGTCAGTTGAGGCGCGTGCGCACTGCCACCATGACAGCCTAACCAAACCTGTTGTCAGAAAAACCCTAGGAGTTAGGATTGGCTCTCCTGCTGCGCGGGGAACCTCAGGATCCTTGCTCTGTAACCGCCTCCCTCTGAACACACAGCCATGTCGTCCAGTAGGCGCGTGGCGCTGGTGACCGGGGCTAACAAGGACATCGGCTTCGCCATCACGCGTGAGCTGTGTCGCAAGTTCTCGGGGGACGTGGTGCTCACCGCGCGGGACGAGGACCGGGGCAAGGAGGCTGTGCAGCAGCTGCAGGAAGAGGGCCTGAGTCCCCGCTTCCACCAGCTGGACATCGACGACCTGCAGAGCATCCGTGCCCTGCGCGACTTTCTGCTCCAGGAATATGGGGGGCTCGACGTGCTGATCAATAATGCATACATCGCCTTCAAGAGTAAGACTTGGGGTGCAGAGAGGGGAGGCGACTTCCCCAGAGGCTGGTGCCAGGCTGGGCTGTCCCTCCCTGGGGAGCACCACTAGGGCAGGGCTCTCTGACTTGGGAGTCTAGAACAGGTCCCCTGGGAGAAGCAGGACAGGGTGGGGGCTGCAGGCAAAGCAGAGCCCGCCTGGTCCTTGTGAATCCACATAGGACGAGTTGCCACCATTTCCTGGCTTCCCTCCCCAGCTGTGGAGTCACTGGTCTTGGGGATACTTGAGTAGAACCCTCAAATCATAGTGACATAAACAAGAAATTGTGTGGAGAGAAAGGGCAGAGCAGGAAAGAGGTGTTAAACGTTCAGATCCTGATGCACAGGGCCTCTGTCAGCCTCCCCCAGTGTTTCTGTCTTTCAAAGACAATCCAACATTATCACACTGGCCTTGGGGCAGTGCTCTCACTAGACTCCTGGCAGTGGGTTTCTAACAAGTCAATCCTTCTCTTTCTGCCCTGCAAGATGCTGACCCAACTCCCTTCCACATTCAAGCAGAAGTGACAATGAAAACAAACTTTTTTGGTACCCAAGATGTCTGCACCGAGCTACTCCCTCTAATAAAACCCCAAGGTGAGTCTGGTGGGTGGCTTCCAGGCCGCTCCTCTTCCTCTGTGCCAGGACTGGCACCTGTGTCTCTCACATTAGGGGCTGTGGTTCTGCACTCTGGGTGCCAATTCTTCTGTGGCCCCTGATTATCTCTTTGCACTGCTAACTCATCACTCAACATCCTCTCAGCTTCCAAGGTCTGGTTGTTCCACACGCTCACACTTGAGGGGATTTCAGGATCCATTCCTATCTAAAACATAGCGCACACCTGCTGCCACCATCTTGTCATAATGCCCTGTCCCCACAAGGTCTCAGGTTATGTCCCCTGAGTGCTTCCCTCAGCTCGGCTGCACAGCAGGTCTCAGCTGTCCAACTGCACAGAGCACACCCACCAGGAGACCTTCTTTCTTAAGCGTTCACTTTTACTCCATTTCTGTCTCACAACTCTTCCCTACCAAAGATCCTTCAGGAGACAGCACAAGCCTTTAGCATGGTTCAGAAGACTGTAATGTCACCTGTCTTCCCTCCAGGCTCATGTTAGCCCTGCTTCAACATGTTCTTGTACTAAAAACAAACTGTGACATTACCTTGATCATGAACTGCTAACACATGTCATTTGGATAGCATGTGAACCACCTCTTACTCAATACACACCAGCAATGAAAAGTGAGCCACTTTAAGAATGTGAGGTTCTATTGGGGAACTCTTGCTCCCCAGACTGATGACTGGGATACCAGTATGGAACTGATCCAGACCCCAGGAACAAAGGTTTCAGTGAGGAAACCTCAAAACTCTATGGGACCTGCTGTAGGAGTTCAGTACTTATCCCTAGCATAGGTGTGGACTTTGGGAGCCCAATTCACATAGAGGAACACTCCTAGAGTCAATACACTCTGGGTGGGCCTCGGCCCTATCCCAAAGGATTCCTTAGATTCTGATGACCCCACTATGGAAGATCTCACCATCCAGGGGTAGAGAAAGGATATGTGATAGGTAGGGTTTTAGTTCTGGGGAGGGGGTGGTTGAGCAGGAGGGGAGGGAGAAGGGAACTGGGATTGTTATATAAAACAATCTTGTTTCTAATTCAAATAAAAAAACTGGGGAAAAAAAGAATGTGAGGTTCTGGTTTAGAGTTGAGTAAGTATAGGTCCTCTGATCTCATGTCCTCTGCTGTCTAGTCCTCTGGATCTCTAGAACCTCTAAGCACAGCTGTTTCCATGGTCACCTCACTTCTCTACCCACCCAAACCTTAAAGGAAAGAACACAGTTTCTTAGGCTACCTCAGTAGTTCTGGTCTGTGCATCCCTCTCTCAGATGTAAAATCTCATTTGCCTTCTCCATATGCCTCTCTACAAAGACATTTGTGGTCTGTTTTAGGCAGAGTGGTGAATATATCAAGTATGGTCAGCCTCAGGGCCCTGGAAAACTGCAGCCCAGAGCTGCAGCAGAAATTTCGAAGTGACACCATCACAGAGGAGGAGCTGGCGGAACTCATGAACAAGTTTGTGGAAGCCACAAAGAGAGGGATGCATGAGATGGAAGGCTGGCCTAATAGTGCTTATGCGGTGTCCAAGATTGGGGTGACAGTCCTGTCCAGAATCCATGCCCGGAAACTCAGCCAGCAGAGGAGAGATGACAAGATCCTCCTCAATGCCTGTTGCCCAGGGTGGGTGAGAACAGACTTGACAGGACCAAAAGCCCCCAAGAGCCTAGAAGAAGGAGCAGAGACCCCCGTGTACTTGGCCCTTTTGCCCCCAGATGCAGAGGGGCCTCATGGGCAGTTTGTTCAGCAGAAAAAAGTAGAAGAATGGTGAACTCAACTCTCCCCCCTCCCCACAGCACCCTCTCCCTAGCTGTAACCTGTCTTGGTGAGGACTGTGGACATTTATAATTGCTGACACAATATACTAATTTAACTCTCATTAATAACTTGAGTCATTGACCTTGTGATTCTATGAAATACTTTATGATTCCATCTGCAATACAGAGTAAGAAAAATTAATTCTGGAGATAAATAAATAAATGGTTCATTAAGCATAAGGATTTCTCTAAATTTGGGGGGTCGCATTAAGTGTTGAGTGTGTTGGCGAGGGGGATGGAAGTGTACTACATGCTTTTAGTGCTGTGAAGACCAGAAGACAGCATCTGTCCCTGGACCTGGAGTGAAGATGCTGTGAGGTCTCCACCAGAGCAGCAAGGGCTCCTCACTGCTGACCCATCAGTCCAGTCTCATTTGCAGATTCTTATCCACGCAAAATTGGCTTCATCGCTGCAGGTTAATGAGGGCAAAAGTGGGGTGAAGGGAAAGCACAGTGTAACTCCAGTCAGCTAAGAACCAAATAGCCAGTCTGAGCAGGTGACTGCTCTGTAGCAGGTGTGTCCTTGGGTGACATACAGGACACACAGTTCTGCCATTCAACACACAGCTCTCAGGTTCTCCAAAGGAATAGAGGATCATTTGTTCTGCAACCATTGAGTGACCATGACCTGGTCACACAGACTTAGGGACCCCTAGTTCCAACAGAAAAGCAGTTTCATAAAGCTTCTATATCTTTCTCTGTTCTATGAAGTTTTACAGAACAAAGTAAGTTTTAAATCAAGACAACTTCAAAATGCATTGGTAGGAAGATCAGAGAAATGGGTACAATGAGATGGGGAGCAATGTTATAGCCCAAGATGCTGTCTGATGACATCCATAGCTCTTGGATTAGGGGAAGTTAGTGTTCTACTGAATTAAATCAATGTCTTCCTATCTCCATCATCAGCATCATGAGGTGTTTCTTCAGAGTGGGGTAAGGAATGCCCATTGCAGACCCTAAACCTAGCCCAGGATAAAGCACTCAGCCTCTGAACCTGCTCAATCCAGAGTCTCCACACTACTGAAATTCCTCTCAGTCCTCCAGTCTCTGCAAACACAGACTCCTCCCTGGAGTTCTGATCCCAGCAGGCACAGCTTCTCTCCAGGAACTTTCTTCACAGTTCCCCCATTGGCCAAGCATCACATTTTGTGCATCAGGGGCCACGTGTTGAATGTTCTGAGGTCCTGCCCTCATGCCTGTGAACCAGGATTAGCATGTGATGTATGTGAGGCTTGAGCAGTGGACAGGAGAGAGCATCTTTAGGAGACAGGAACACTGGTAAACCCAGGAAGCATCACTGGCACCATATCGAAACAACTAG